CAGCTTGCCCCTTGCAAGTGGCTGGGAGCGGGGAGCGGGGCAGGGGTGAGCCGGAAGAGCATCACGGTGAGTTATGTCCAGACTAGGGTCAGAGGACAACAAGGCCCAAGGCACGGGGCATACCCCGAGCGAGCTCAGCTGCCCCTGCAATGAGCCTGTGGCTGGCGGCTCCGTTACCCCCGGTCACCATGGGCAGGACTCGCTCCTCGTCCCACATGGAGCAAGCTCACACCCCTGACTAGGACTGCAGGCGCCCGGCATGTGCCCTCCGGGTGCACGGCAGGGCTTGTGCAGGAGCCGGGCTGGGCATCGCACATCCCCTTGGCGGTGGCGCTGGTGCTGAGACGGACTGCCCAGCACCGGTGAGCTGCCCCTGGGGCATGGGCATGATGTTGGGTTGTCCATGGGGGAGCTGCAGGGCTGGGCTGGAGCCCCTTGATGTGCGTCCCCCTGCTCCGTCCTCACCCTCACACGATGCCTGCGCGCATGCATGGGTGCTGGCCCCCGGCAGCCTGAGCAGCACAGCATGAGGACCTTCCTGCAGCGGAGGCATCTCACCAGCTGCCCCCATTCGGGCCTGGGGACAGAGCAGGGCTGCTCCCGGGTGCACAAGCCCTGCGAGCACAGCAAGGCTGAAAGCGAGAGGAGGAAGTGCAGCACGTGGCTTCTGCTGCTGCACCGCACAGAGCCAATGCTGGGAGCACGCGACACCTTCCTTCCGGGGGAAGCGCGAGCCGCAGCGTCGCTGTGCACCCGGCTGCCTTGCCAGCGTTAACGGAGCTGCTCCTGGCCCCGTGGCAGAGGGGCCGGCAGGGCGTGCGCCCCACGCTCGGGAGCACGGAGCCGCGTAACCCAAACCAGGCGGGAGGTCCAGGCAGGGCAGCTGCTCCCCAGACTGCTCCAGCCTCAGCACTGACCCCCCCACGGCTGGTCCCCACTGGAAGGGGACCCTGGATGTGCCCCAACCCCGGGCCTTTGCCTTGAGGGGGTTCCCCCTTCCTCTGCCCCCGCAGGGGGTGCAGCCCGGCCTGCAGCCTGGCTCTGGGGGTGTTGGTGCTGAGTGGCCCGTGTCCTCCCTGTACAGAGAAGGAGACCGTGTCCTTCCAGAGAAGCAGACCTGGCAGAGGACGCGGCACTTGCCAGGCACAAGGGGAACAAATGCCCGGGTTTTTAGCCATGCCAGCTGCAGGGGCTGCACTGATTTAGGTCAGGTAACAACAGCAGCTTCCCATGCCACCTTCGAGCCTTAGACACGCAGCCCAAAGTGCACGAGAGGCCCCTCCGTGCAGCGGCACAGGCAGCGCTGGGGCAATACATGCCTGCAGGTGTGGGCACGCATGCCCACGTGCACACGCACAAGCAGCCAGCTGGAGAGGAGGAGCATCTGCCGGGCGGGCAAGCTCCTGCATCTGCCGGGCCTCTGCCAGCATCTAGGCCCGCCTGCTTTCCGGGGTGCCAAGGGGGGACCCCTCGTGTCGCAGCAAACACCTGGCAAGGATTGTCCACCTGGAAAGAGCGCAGAGGTCAGGGCTCCCTCGTGCCCAGGCTGTTTCCAAAGCATCAGGAGCCTCTGGCTCCCCTGCCCTCCCGCCTCCTTCCCTGACTCCTGCCCCCGCTCTCTGCAGCAGCAATACCCTTGCAGCCTGTCTCAGGGCTGAGCCGCCCTCTCGGGCACCAGCAGCTGCACGGAGGATGGAGGAGACATCCCGGGCTTGCTCTGTATTCACCTGCCTCGTTGTGCCCTGGAGCAATTCCTGACAGCGAAAGGGCGTGAAAGCTGAGGCAGGCATCAGCATCTTGGCCATTGTGCCCGGAGGCAGGTTTGGTTTCAGAGCCGGGGAAACGGGCTCGGAGACTCGCTGGGTTACCCGGGAAGGGCAGCGGCAGGTAGAGGCAGGCCCAGGCAGCTCACACGGAAACCTGGACACCAGCAGAGCTGCAAAGGCAGACAGGCCACGTGTGCAATACAAGCCTGCAGGTGTGGGCACGCATGCCCACGTGCACACGCACAAGCAGCCAGCTGGAGAGGGGGCGCGTAGCAGTCTCAGTTGTCCACAAATTCAACTAATTAGTCCTTGGCGCGGTGCCACACTGGAAGGTGGGGGGCAGCCAGGCGGGGCTGCGGAGACGGGAGCCGCGGCAGTACGTTCCTGCCTGGAGGGGACGAAGCAGCCGGGGAGGCAGCCGTACCCTGGCGACAACAGCCAAGTGCCACTTCCGCAGCAGGCGCAGCTTCCCAGAAGCCTCCTTCAGCCCTGGGGTGGGACGATCCTCCGAAGCAGGCCAAAGCAGTTGGTTCCCAGGGCCCGAGCAGCTCCCGGGGCTGGCAGGGGAGCGTGGTCGTGCTCGATTCGGGGAAGGGAGGAGTGGCTCCCTGGTCATGCTGGGCAGCAGCTGGGACCCTGCCAGCGGGCATGGGCTGGGCGGGAGGGGCTGCACGTTGC